TCATCTATGTTCTTATATTCACCTCATTTCATTCCCTTAATACCCAAAATGCCACTCATTTTAAATGTTGTACACCAGTTCTGATGATTGTTTGTAAGGCTGAAATCGGATAATGCAGGTTATTAGAGAGATGAGAGCTTCAGCTTGAGCTTCTATTTCTCATTATTGGGTGGAAGACTTTTCTCATTTAACATTTGAAAAACAAAGGTCAAAAAGAAACAAAATAGTACAGGAAATGATATGTCCTCTGTTCCTAGGCTCTCATTATCTATGATGTGATGGAGATGCAGACATGATCATGATAAAATTCCTTCAGTCTCTGCCATGGTGGATCTTGATCAGGAGGATACTGCACCCACCAGTCTTAAAATGTCCTCTAAAAAGGAGCTTCTGTCTACAGCCACGAAGAGAACCAGCGAGTGGTATGATTAGTATCTTTGTTTTATAACCAGGGATCCATTTTTTCGTGAACTGGCTGCTTAAATTGCTTTTCAGGTAGGAAAAAGAAAAGAAAAGCACACTGAAGTTGATAACTTGATTCTTTTTCCAGGATTGAGACTCCCAGTGATGTCACTGTTCATGTTGGAGGAGCTTCTTTTTCACTGCATAAGGTAGAATGCAAGCACTTCATTTCCTATGTTCCTTTTGAAACGTATGACTCCATTTCCATTCAACAGAAAAACAAACAGCCATAACATGTATATTGTAACAACATATAAAGCAATTCTCGATGTCTTGGGAACCATGGAGGCATAATAGCATCTATGGTTTGTATGGCATCAAGCTCCTAGTTTTGTTAATGACAGAGAATCGTGCATTTTTAAAACTTATTTCCTACTTCAATTGCAGTTTCCATTAGTCTCTAACTGTGGATACACAAGGAAAGTGGCATCAGAATCCAATGATACTGATCTTTCACACATAGAAATTCCTGATGTTCCAGGTGGAGCAGAATCATATGAATTCGCAGCTAAATTCTGTTATGGGATAAATTTTGAGATAAGCACTGAAAACATTGCCATGCTACGATGTGTGGCAGAGTACCTTGAGATGACTGAGGACTATGCGGTTGGAAACCTTGTGGGAATAACTGAAGCCCACTTGAATGAAGTGGCACTTTAAGAGCCTAGCAGGAGCAGTTTCTGTGTTGCACATGTCAGAAAACCTCCTCGCCCTCTCAGAGAAAGTTAAATTGGTGGGCCGGTGCATAGATGCGATAGCATATTTAGCTTGCAAAAAGAACCAGTTTTGTATGTCTGGCAGGTCAGAGAGTGGCAATCATAGTGCAATTTCTTCAACAATTTCTAACTGGAAGCCTATTGTTGATTGGTGGGCTGAAGATTTAGCTGTTCTTAGAATCGACATCTTCCAACGGGTTTTGATTGCAATGATAGCAAGAGGGTTTAAACAATATGCTCTTGGTCCTGTGCTTATGCTTTACGCACAGAAAGCTCTTAGAGGTTTGGTGAGACCCCATACCAACATAATTGACTTGTTTACCTGATATGGTTAATGTCTCAAGTGCAGACTTTTCTTTCATGCAGGAAATGTTTGGAAAGGGGAGGAAGAAAATCGAGGCAAGTCAAGAACATGAGAAGAGGGTTGTCTTGTAGACCATAGTGAGTCTTCCGCCAAGGGAGAAAAATGCAATGTCTGTGAGCTTTCTATCTGTGCTGCTTCGAGCAGCAGTACACCTTGAAACAACTGTTGCTTGTCGACTTGATTTAGAGAAAAGGATGGCCTTGCAATTAGGACAGGCTGTTCTGGATGATCTCTTGATTCCTGCCTGTTATTTTACTGGGGATATATTGTTTGATGTGGACACAGTACAACGGATCATGATGAATTACCTAGAATATGAAACTGAAGGGAGCCATTTTGGCTACAAAGAAGAAGATGGGTATATTTCTCCTCCACCAAGCGACACGGAAAGGGTGGGAAAGCTAATGGAGAGCAACGTAGCTGAAATAGCATCTGACCATAACCTATCCGTCTCAAAATTCATTGGTCTCGCTGAACTCATTCCTGAACAATTGAGGGTAACGGAGGATGGAATGTATAGAGCCATAGATATCTACCTGAAGGTACATTTCTTTTATATAATTGTCCTCATCTTAAGAATCTGCTGCAACTTTTTACTCATTCAACGATTATGATTAGTTAGTGTGATTATATTTTCTAAGCTTATGTGATTACAAATAAGAATACCATTTTCTTCCTATATTCATGCTCTATATGCCAAATATTATTAGTAATTTTCAAATAATCACAGATTTTCGAATAACCCTTTGAATGCCTTAGTTTACTGTTACTGTGCTGGCTATTTCAAGACTTTGAACGCAATGCAGTAATGGTGATTCTGAAGCTTTCTTATACAAGATATTTTACTACTAAGATACACAAATTTCCAATACCATTGGCAATATTAAGATCTTTTTGATCCACAAGTAAATCTGCTTTGTCATAGGACTGTTAGAAGTATCAATAGCACCCTTTAGCGTTTCTTGCTTTTTCCTTCTTTATTTGGATGAATAGTTCTCTCGTATCTTAGTGTGATTCCTTTACTGAATGCAGTCTCTTTTATCCACCTTTCGATAATAATTGACAGGCTCACCCCACTATAACTGACTTGGAGAGGAAGAAAGTTTGCAGCTTGATGGATTGCCAGAGACTCTCTCGGGAGGCCTGTGCTCATGCTACTCAAAACGACCGCCTTCCTGTCCAGACCGTGGTTCAAGTTCTTTACTATGAGCAACAACGTCTTCGAGATGTCATGAATGGAAGCATCTCAAGGGGGATACCCCTGCCATTTCTACCAGAACGAATTTGTACCCCTCAGATATCCACTCAATTTCAGATGAACTTTCCAGATTAAAAAGAGAGAACGAGGACCTGAAACTAGAGTTAGTAAAAATGAAAATGAGATTGAAGGAAATAGAAAGACCATCATCAGTTAGATCAGCAGTAAACAGTCCTATGGGAAATATTATGCCATCATCTGATAAGCCTCATTTGCCTAGAAAATCATTTATGAATTCAGTTTCTAAGAAGCTAGGACGGCTTTATCTTTTTGTGCGCGCGGATGGAGTTTCACCTTCCGGTGCCAAAGGTCGAACAAGGCTCAGCAAAGATAGGAGGCACTCCATATCTTGACACATTGGTTTGCCTCTACCAGTACTTTTCTGAAGAGTTTTAATGTCTGTGTTGTGCTTCAAGGCTTGAGAAAACTTGTAGCTGTCATCTCTCTTTTTCTTCTTTGTTTTTTGGGTACCACGACCCTTGGACCCCTTCTGTCTGCTTCTTTTGTGTGGTGTTGCTGTAAATAATATCATCTTTATGTTTTATAAACACATTATTCAAGGGATGGTGATAGCTAGGAAGTGGAATCATGGAGGTTTTTGGCTTTTTGCGTCCTGAAGGCTACTTCTCTGTAGCTGTGATCAAGCAATAGCATAGTCAAAGCAGTAGCCTCTTTTCTCCCCAGGAAATCCTGATGAGTTCAAATTGCCCTTCTCCCAAACTTCTTCTTTTTTTTTTTTAAAGATTAGGGAAAAAAATATTTTTTACACAAAAAGCCACTGGGGATAAAAAAAAAAGTTATAGGTGATGTGATTTAAACTTCATATGTGCTTAACTCTGCAGGACATATAATTCAGAAAGTTGCTGTTAGAGATACAATAGTCTTTGGCTTCAGAAATAAATACTATATATTCATCTGGATGTTAACAACAAAAGAGAGGATTTGAAGACATTTAAACTCAAAATTTCTGGACAACCCTAATCCTATTCCTAAGGAAGTAACTGAACAAAAAAAAAAAAAAAGGCGTGTGGAAATATTACTTTCTACTTGCACTCCTTGGACTCTTACTCCCTAAGAGGGTTAAAACAAACAGCAGGTTATATCAGACAGGTGTCCTGGAGAAAAGAAAACAAAAGAAATTGGTTGCCTCTTTGAAGACATTTAAACTCAAAATTGTCAAAACCTAGAAATATGGTTAATTAATGTCCTGAAAGGGTTAGAATCTTAAACTCGTCTTAATCTAAAACGGACCATTTGTACTGTTAATGCAGAGTGTCGGGTCTGTATCTAAATTATTTACACCTTTTAGATAAAGAACTTTGGAAAAGCAATTGCAGCATAAGGGACAGGCTAGCAGTTGTATATGTTGTCTGCGGCAAAAGGCATGCATGAGTGATATTAAAAGATGGTTCCCAAATACTCAAGTTTTCATGGTTTCAGACTTTCTCTAGGCTAGGCATAATTGCTCTTATATCACAAGCCTGGTTCTTGTAATATAGAAGTTTCAGCTGCACCTGATGCCAGATAGACAAAATAAAAAATAAAAAAAAAAGAGCTAATTACAATTGGAGAGAACTAAAAAAAAAAATGTCTTTCATAAAAATTACATGCTCTTGAAGGTAAAGAAAATGCTTCATTTTCAGATTTCTCCAAACTGGTTTGATCATTGATGGCAATTTGACAAATATGTTGCCAGGAAAATCATGTATGGAAAAATGGAACCCTGTTTGACTGTTTCCAAGACCACGGCAACCCCATATGACATGGGCCTGCTTTTCTTTTTAGATTCACTTGGTCTCCTGATTTATTGTAGATTTTTTTTTCTCTTTCTTAGAAAAATGCTAAACAACTGTTATAGCATCTGTTTATACTCAATCTGGACATATGAACAAATTAACTACTCTAAAAGAAATATTTAGAAAGATGCCAGAAATCTCTTTTTGGGATCAAACTTGCACTTTTAAATGTTGCATCATTCAACATAAATTCCCTTCGACAAACTTTTTACATATGTGAGTATTCCTGTTAAACCATAAAAAGTCTTGTGAATGAACTTATCTTTAAATAACATTTAACAGATATAAAATTCAAATTCCAAAACTTTCATATCTTTCTCTATTCCCAACCTTTTTTTTGGTAAAAAAACAAAAATAAAAAGTCCTGTAAATAGATTTTTTAGACTAAAACAATGGTCATACGGTAAAGGTTGATCAAATCAAAGAGAAAAATATAAAGGTGTTATCTTGTACTCAAAAGTCATCCAAAGTGGGACTCGAAAGGATAGACTGATTGGAAAGCTTAGCTCAACAAAATATCAAGTCAATATGTATGGTAATGGGTTTTGCAAGTCAGGGAAATAAGTGATCTTTACAAAAGACTCCATCACCCATTTTTGCTAAAAGAACTAAGCAGAAACTTCCACGCAAAGATCAATCACCGAAAATTAGTCCATAAGAAGCAGTCTAAAATCTAATCATATCAATTTTGAAAGATTTTTTCTTTCTTTTTTTCAAGTCATATTCATACTTAGAACTTGGAAAAGCCAAGGAGGCTGTTTTAATCTCTCCTGTCTCAATTGTTCTTCAAGATCAATATTGTTTTTACTTCCATTTTGATACCCCAATGTCATGTCAGTGACCTGGAGGAGTCCCAGCTCACGCTCACTTAATTCTTCTCTTCTGGTCTGTTTGGTCATGGAACTACTTGTCCTGTTCATATGACTGGATTCAGTGGAAGAAGAAGAGAAGCTTGCTCCAGAATCCGAAGTTAGAGGGGGAGTCCCATGTTTCTTCCTCGGCATGTACCTTGTGGGCCCTAACGTCAGCTCAATCTCGCTCTCATCTATGACTTCTAACATTCTGTTACCATGATCTGATTCTGCTACACTGTATTCCTCAACAGCCGGATGTTCCAAGTCAAGTCTCCTTAATTTCCGATGCATATTCCCAAGCTGACTATTATTCTTCGAGGTAAAGCTTCCATTAGGCCTGCCGCTTTCAAAGCTTTTCATCAATCTCTTCTGGATTCGATATAGACGATGAAGCTCGTAGACCTGAAACATTGATTCGAGCTTAGAACATTAACAAATAATACCTATAACAGATGAAGACAAATACACCATTAAGAAATATATACCTGTTCTTTGAATGTTTCTTCATGTTTTAACATTGCCATCCTCATACACTCCTTATCGTACGGCCTAAGAAGCTTCTCCATTGGAGTTTAATGTAGTTTCTTGTACAATATGCAAATGGGTTTATCCCAAGAAAAGAATATCTAAGGATAAAAAGAGTTGAATTTGGATTTGATCCCTTTCTTTCCAATAAATTTGCTTAAAAAGTAGATCACATATCTACTCCAATGCTCAATCACCTTTCACTATTCCACCTGTAAAATGAGCAAAATTGCCAAAAATAATAATAATAAAGATCAGAAAAACGCTGAGTATCCTTGATTGGTGATGGATTGTTTTTATTCACAATAGAAAAGGGATGATGGGCATTAATGTTTCCAACACTAATATGAAAGTATGATAACATCAACTACTTTTAGTATAATTTGTCCGCTTGTTCACATGTTTTTGGGCCACACTGATAATCTTCCATACAAAATATCTTCCATTATGCAGCATTATCTATGGTGCATACATATCACATGTGGCTCCAATACATCTTTCCCACACGATCCACACCCATGACTTCAAAATCAATCAGTATTTATCTTTTTCTCCTCTGGTTATATATATATATATATATATATATTTCAATACTTCTTTTCTGGTAAACATTCTGAATTTATCAATCATATCCAATTGTAACCATTTTATAACTACATTTACAAAACAATAATTATGTTTAATTATAATTTCCTCCATCTAATTAATTGCATCTTCTGGTTACTTAACAGTGAAATGCCATTCAGATTCAGTCTTACATGCTGATCTCTTGTAAATTAAAGTTTTAAAATCAGTAAATAGTTACATAATTACCTAATAATGGCATTCAAACTTAAATAATAGGAGTGGAACAAAAATAAGAAGGATTTTAGATGGTGAGGGACGTCAGTGTTTTTTCTCTCAGGATTTAAGAAATATACTTGGATATATTGGTTATCAGAAAACCAAGAGATTACTTTCAAAGGAATTTTTATTATGATTTTAAAAATTTTCAAGCCCAAATATTCATTCCAGCAAAGAATTCTAGCTTTCAGAGATATATATATATATATATATATATATTTGACATGTACATCAAACTGCACTAGCTTCCATGAAAGTAAATGAGAAGTTTTGGATATACAGACTTGATTAGTAAGACTGGAGAAGAGAAAAGGATCATCAGTAATCAGAAAATTTATGAAAAGGATCATCAGTAATCTGAAAATTCATTCCTTAAGAAGGAAAAAATCATGCAAACATGAAAGGCGGTAATTGTGTGTAATAATAGGATCATTGTATCATATTGAAAGGAAATTCTTGAAGAATTCTTTTGAGATCAATGAACCTGTTAGATTTCAAAAGATTGAAAAAAAAAAAAAAAAACCAAATGCATTTATGGAAGACAGGTGAACATCTAAACAAATTCCCTAATATCAAAATCAAACTGTATTTTTATCTCCTTATTCTCTCCTTGAAATGGATTCATGCTTGAGAAAAGAAAAAGGATGGTAAGAAAGACCATATTCTGACCTGTTAGAGATTCTTCTAGAGCTATAGCAATTAAGAAGATCACAGCTTTACGTTACCAACCGGTTGGAGAAGAAACGAAAGAGCACAAGAAAAGGGAACTGTGTTTTGCAAAGGAAAAAGATCAGAAAAGGCAAAAAAAAAAAAAGCTATATAACTCCTCCTGAAGCTCAACTTGAGCCACAGCTTGCTTTGACAGAGAAAGAAGATGACCTTGCCCTCACATTCCTCACCAGTATATAGTGCACAGAACTTTCAAATAAACTACATATAAAAAAGCTGAGGAAGAAGAATTAAGATTCTCTCTCTTTCACAGTACAGAAACCAATGTGCTGGTGCATCTGGGTGTTTTGAGGCATGCCAAACAAATCCCAGTCCCTTAGCCAATGACATTCAAGTTTTGTGGAAGAGATGCCTCAGACGGGTCCAGCAATGCAATTTATATAATATTAGATATAAAAATACTCAAACATGTATTTGCTTAGATATATATAATTCAGGATATCTACATTTCTATAATTGGATTTGAAGATCACAAGGCCTAACCCTACCACTACTTTGTCCAGAAAATCATAAAAAAGAACAGCTTAGCTTGTTAAGGTGAATCACATGCACCCAAGAATTCTATATCCCTGGTAACAGTTGTCTCTCAATTATATAAATAAAAAATTTAATGTTTTCCATTTTAATGTTAGTGGAAATTGATATGAAGGAGCCGAAGGTGGCATCTCCTGGTCCCCCGACAATTACATCCCTGCCGTACGATAAGTTGGGGGCGGGGGGGTTTACCCTATTCAAAAACTATCCCAAAAGTTAAAGACTGGCCACAGGATCTAAAATCCAACACTGCACAAACTTAAAAGATCTTGATTTCTGATTTATATATAAATATATCAGATATATAGATATCCCAAATGGAAAAATATGCAAAGGCAAATCTTGAATATATTCTATTTGATAATGATTATATTAGTTGAAGAACTGGTGAGGCATTGAAAGAAAGATGATGGATTTTATCTGTACAATGTGGTAGTATAAATAAAGATTGGGGATCATTGGATCTGAGTTGTTAGATTCGGTTTCACCCCCACACCAAAGAAGACCTCAACACAATGATTATAGCCGTTGATTACCCATGTGAGGGAGGGTTGTTGGGAAATCAATCAAGAATCGACGGTCCAGATAAGTGGACCCCTATATTCTCAACAACCAAAAAAAAGGAAAAGAAATGGTACACATTAAATGTACTTGTATAAATCTTTATAATAATAATTTTTATGGCATATGCAGGTCTATACTCTATGGGATATATAGAACATAAAATATAGCTGTACATAGTATATACTGGAGGGGGATTCATCCAGGACCATATAAACGAAGATAAATGGATTTGGTTTTCAGGAATAATCAAAACAGTAGAATTAAAAAAATAAAAAATAAAAAACTTTAAAATGTAACTAAAAATAAAAATCCATGTCGCCCATTCTTGTCATGAGAAGGAAAAAAAATCACATCATCACATGCATGCTGGGCTCTCAGAGTTGTAGAATATGATAATGAATTATGCATTACAAGAAAGTTGGGATTTAATAAAAAAAAAAAGAAAATAAAAAAATTCGAGAGAGTGACATGGAAGCACGCGTTGCCGGTGAGGGGAGGAGCAACCGTATGGGGCGGTGGGTCCATTGGGGCTGCTGAAAAGTCTGAACAAAGAGCGGGGAGGGGGCCAGGTGATAGGCCTGGGTTGCCATTTGGTCCCACCTTGAAAAGGAAATTTAGAAACAATTAATCACTGTTACGTACAGTACTCATACATTAAAGAAGAGAAGAAAAAGCAAAGAAAACAACAGAAAATGTCAAAATTTTCGGTTTTTCACAGTATCAGTGCTACAGAAGTTAGTGAGGAGAGAAGGGTACAAGCTATTTTATTTTCCTTTTTAGTTTCCCCCCTCACCCAAACCCCACCAATTTGTGTTACAGGATTTCAAAACATGATATTGAGGAATCTGATTACTGCCATTTCTGTTTCCTGGATGTCCTCCCTGGATCTTTGAGCTTTCCACACATCAAAATTTGAGTCACAACACCAAAATCATCTTTCCAGGATTCAACAATTCAATGTGTCATCTGCTGTCTGGAAAAGCTTAAAGTAGCTAGAAATTTTGGGGTTTTCAAGAGATTTTTTCAAAGAGAAAAAAGAGGGAAGATCATTATTGATTCAAAGAATACAAGCATTTTTGAAAAAAAAAAATGTAGATATTCTTGAGTTTAACCAGGGGTACTTTAACTAACATCAATTTGATCACTCTGATGCTTACGCAGATGACAAAATCTTGCTACAAATATAAAACATAGACTACAAACGTTTAGTGTTTTCTTTTATTCTTACATTCCGATTGTGGAGATTCGTATCTATACAAGATATTATTTGTTTTAATTATTTTGTTTCATAAAAAATATCTCATTAATTTAAATTTAAATTTTTACGTGTATATATATATATATATCATTCTATATCAATATATTCTTTCAATAAAAGATCAGAGATATTTTACTGTATAACATTTAATGACTCTCATAATGTAATATTTAATTTTTATTGACTGGTGATAATTTTGATATCATTTGAATTTGAGATATCTCATCATATAGCATTAAGTGATTTTTACGATATAATACTTAATTTTTACCGATTGATGAATGTTCTGATAGCATTTGTAAAGATTTATATCCAATTTATGAAATATCATTTATTTTTATTCGAAAGTTTTATAATTTTATCTTACAAAAAATATCTCATTAATTTTGATTTAAATATATATATATCATACTATATTTATAAATTCTTTTAATATGAGATTGGGCGTTACACCGTTTGATTTGATGACAGTGAAATTAAGGGGAAAGCCGAAGTCACAAAACGTGAGAAACGGAGTTTGTCTAATGACCCCATGTCGTCGGATAAATACACATATAACCAAGATGTAGTGGCAAAGCACTGATCTCAAATGGCTTTCCCACTACCACATTTTCTAATTAAGGATATGTCTTTACGGGACAAAACTTGTTCTTTTTTCTCATTTGCTTCTAATTTCACTAGCTTGCATCTAAACCTGTAATCTGAACCAAAATTTGATTTATTTACTTCCTCTATCTCATTTCTTTTTTAAGATGTCTCAAAATTATATTTTATTTTCTTTTTTAAACATATAAAAATCTTACTTTTTTATTTTTTAATTTTTTGATATTAAAAATTATAACATTCTAATTTTATAAAAATTTAATTTTAATATTAAATATATTAAAATCAATTTTTTTTAAACTCCATAAAAATCAATGCAAGAAAAATAGATACGGATAGAGGAAATTTTTTTTATATTTGAGATTGTAAAATTTTATTTTTTATATATATATTTTAGATTATAAAATGAAATTTGATCAATGTGTTAAATACCAAATCCAAATATATATGGGAGATAAAACCAAATGACAGCATTCATAAATCATGCAAATTTAAATGTTTATTCAGACTATTCGGCTTATTATATTTTTAATTCTTTTATCCCTTTCCTTGCAATCTAAATTGCATTAATTTTTTAATGGATACTAAAATTTTAAATTTATTATTTATATAAATTATTGTATCAACAAACTATATTAAATTTTAAATTCAAATTGCTATATAAATTTTATATAGAAAGCTATACCAAGTATAGTTTTAAAATATTGTAAAAAAAAAAAGTTAACAAATTAAATTATTCTCTCGTAATAATAACTCATTGGATCATGAGTTCCAAAGTCTTTGATTTAACATTTCATAAGAGACGTGACTATGTCATGACATTAAAAAAAAAAAGAATAATGTTTTATCAGTTAGCTATTGAGAAGATCAAAGAGTCACGATCATCTATGTTTGGGAAACATGAATAAATTATTGGTTTTACTTTCATAATCACGAGTAAGTACAAAGGTAAAAATTAAAGTATTAATCAATCAAAATTTATTAGTCATTAAAATATTAAGAACGATAATGATGAATGATGGTGGAATGATCAGAATCTAACCATTATTTTAATGCTTTCCAAACAAGATTTTGGATAGAAAATTAAAATTATGCAATGTAAGTCAGTGGAACAACACGCCATGCTCACTTTTTTTTTTTTTTAATTCCATTAACAGCAACTTCTACTTGGAACATGTCGAGGGCATTACTCCACGTAAAGATGATAATTTGTATTATTATATAGTATAAAATATTATATTATATTTTATTTTATTTGAAAAATTTTTATCATAGTTTCATAACGATATAAAATTTTAATTTTATTAAACTCATTTATAAATTTTTTTAAAATTTTAACCCGTATTATCTTTATATTTTTTATTCATATTGTGTCACTATATAATCAATGTAATTCCAAGTCATTGATAGAGAAAAAAATTATTTGATACTTATAATCATGTTTAAAAGATAATATTTAATAAAATTAAAATTAAAATCTTAATTTTATAATTTTTTATTTTTAATTATAATTTGTTATATAAAATTATTTACGTTCTTTCAAAAAGCAAGTGCACGAACAATGTGATATTCCTATCTCATATAGAAAAAATTTAAAATTTTGTTATGATACATAAATAAAAATTAAACCTAAATTTGTGAGACACATTTTGTGAAACAAAATCATAAGATCTTTAAGCTAAAGTTAACAATACTTAGGTATCCATAAATAGTATCAAAGCATTTTTCAGTCAAATAAGAGTTAAATATTACACTGTAGCAATCACTTTGAGAATCTCAATGTCTAATGTGATTCTAATTCTATGGTTTTGTCTGTATTTTATGTTGGGCTTGACTAAAACATCAAGTTTTAATACGGAGAGTTTGTGATACCTCAATTTTATATTAAAATAAGTTAAGTGTTATATGGTGGGAGTCATCTCTAGAATCCCAACATATAATATAATCACGATTTCGTGGTTTTGTTTGTGCTTTTTGTTAACAAAAAAGTTTATAACACCGCAATCCCACATTATGAGATTCTGAAAGTTAAATGCTTAATTTAGAAGTAAACATTTGTTTAATTGTTCAATTTAAGATTAAACATTTTATTTTATACAAATAAGGATTAAACATTATTGACTTATAATAATAAATGACCTTTTTAGACAGAAATATGACTATAAAACACATGCATCATTAAATTTAATAGATAAAAATAACATAGAATTTTTTTTAGTTTTAGAAATATTTTAATATTTTTTTACTTTATTTTTAAATTTCTCGTTGGGAAAAAAATACTAAAATGATATAGTTCAATGAACAATCAAAACCCAGATATAATTTCGATCAAAATTAAGATGTAGTTTCAAGTAACAATCAAAATATAAAATTAATTTAAAAAAAAGATAATGCCAAATATACCCAAAAAGCTTAACTGAAAAGCAAAACCCGCAAGCAAAAAATTCTAGAGTAATTGGAGCCAACATCTCAAGAATACAATCTCATCTTCTTTTTTACAGAATTTCAAAAGAGAATCCAAGCAAAATTTAAAAATTTTTTCTACAACCAAATACACCAAAAACTTTGATTTCTCAAT